TGAGACGAATATTTTCGTGGAAATACACGTGAAAGGTCCTACTTTACAAAAAAAAAAACGTTCGAGAGTGTGTGCGATGTGCGCGAACAAGAGGATAAATGAAATGAACAATAATAAAATGTGGATCTATATTTTGAAGCGTGCAGATGGTCATCGAATTATAACGGTAAAAATATTAATTATTCCCCACTGAAAAAAAAGCAAATTGATATTTACACTCGATAAATTTGATGACTCATTTCGTTTGATTCTGCTTCCTCATGATCTTATGAATCACGTCGGATTGAAATCGTTGAAATCATTTAGAAAGAGCATTTAAGTGCGTGTGTGTTGGGTTTATTAGTTATATGGAATGGTACTTCGCGCATCACGGAATCTAAAGCAAAATAAATGAAATAATGACCTCTGAATATATTGAGGTTACTATTCATAAATTAACTATCTAATGTACAGTTATTGGATAGGGAGAAAAAAGTAAATTCCAAGAACTATACGACATTTGAATGTGAATCATTGCAATTGCTTGAGATTTCTCCTTGTTTGGATGCTCAAAGTGCTAGATGTTCGACACATATTTTTTTTCTCGTTTGCTCACTTCGGCAATCGGAAATAATGCCTTCAGAATACTAATTATGCTGTATAACAAGCGATTTGTGCGAACGAAATTGAAATTATCGACACACACACACACACACACACACACTCACTCATACATGTATACGTCAACGCCGAATGAAGTGACGAACAAGAATTAACTCGAAAACATTTTTCATTGTCTGTATAACGGACACATTTTTGTTTCGAGTAGTCTTAAGGAATGAAAGCAAAAAAAATGGAATAAATGTGAAAATCGCCGATGAAATGAGTTCAAAGTGAAATCTTTGCTCTGAATAACGCGCCACCAATTGACGCCGCAATAGAAAAACAAGACCGCATAGCTTCGCTTCGCTCCGCTCTGCGTTCTTGAGTTTTTAGTCATTTAATCTATATTGTTATTTCACAACAAACTATTTATTGGCGCACTACATGAAATGTATTTCATCAAAGTAACTTTGAAGTAATATATTTATTTTCAAAATGAATTACAAGATCTTAGTTTTATTTCTTTTTTGAAATATACTGCCTTTGGTTTAAATTAAATAAATAATAATATGAGCATAGAATCGAAAGTCACTTCAATTCTGTTCAAGACCCAGAAAATACTGTACGAAAAATTAATGTAATTTTTAAAAAACATAATTAATAATTTTGATAATAAAAATTTGATTGGCGCTTTGAGTAATTATGCACTTATTTGTCGTTAATGCACATGTTTTAAATTAAATAAAAAATATGAGCATGAAATTCAAATTCATCATAATTTATTTCATCACTCAAAAAGTATTAAGAAAAAAAGAAAGCAGATTAGTAGCTTTACATTTCATGTAGTGCTAAAAATGGATCGATTTCACGAAGATGAGAACGTGTGTCGCAAATGGTTAATTGTAAAAGTTATGTGCTAAATTCCATGTGAATGATTCTAATTGGTTTGGATGCTACGAAATGAAATACGGTTAGTATTTCGTTGGGTCGGTTCAAAAGTTAAATTGTCTTGTTACCCGGTTTTTGCTTTCTTCTTCACGTTGTGTTGGCGTAAAGTATGCATGAAAAAAAAAATGTTCCGTTGGTTTCCACATTGTGCTTGTTCTGCAAATAATGTGACGTCCGATGAGAGGAAATAAATGCAAAGTAAGTTATTTGGATGTTTACGTGCTGCTGGAAACGTAACGCACCATGATTGTGGTTTGCATTGTTGATGTTCATCTTCCACTCGGTTTCTTTGGTCAACCAAAGGGGAATTTTTGTTTTTCATTTTTAAAATGCCTTGCATCGATATATGTATGACGTTGCTGGGTGAAAAATCGTCTTTCCGTTGCTATACAATAAATTCGTGCCATGCACGGTGAATATGAAGTGAATTGAGCATAGGAACGACTAAAAAAAACCAGCCAAATGGTCAGCATCATGTTCTGACGTGAAATACGGGCGCGCGCGCGCGTCCGCACACGCAAACAAAGTATGGCGAAAAAAACGAGAGAGAAATTTCTTTCACTAGAGAGCGCGCGACAGTGAATAATCATATGCAATCTGTATGTTGTGTACGGTACATGTTAAACAATGTGTGGCATGGCATTCGCAAGTGACGCGTCTTCGATGGCATAGCATCTCGCTTTGGCGAAATTAATTGTATTCGTTGGATTGTGTGGATTACTAAATTCTTGTTTCAATACGCATCGGTTTATTTTTAGTTTGGGCCATTGTCGCGAAAAATTTCGACATATTACGAAATAATTTATTTTTGCTTTCTTCCGATCTGATAAATAACGGTGCGCTCCATTGGAATGCTGAGTGTAGTCTCTTTCGCTTTAGTGAATGAGAGAAATTTCGTCTCCGGCGATGACGTCGATTCAACGACTCGCAACTCAACGAGTTTCATTCATTTCGGGATTGCATAAGGCAAAATTAATTTCGGAAAGCATAAAACAGTCTTGCCCCCCCAGCGAATATGTTCTAGATTCCAGAATTGCAACGCAAAACACTAGACAATACGAGATAAACAATGGGCCACATGAATTTAATAGAAAGCGATAGAAAGCGTCCAGAAGTTTCCTTGTGGAATGTCCAAAAGTGGACTTTAAACCGTTTACCGTTAGGTTCAACACAATGCATAGAATTTCGATGAATGTTAACGACCCATTTTCATACGGATTGATTTAGTTGTTTTGATTTTGCTTCGGCTTCGGCTTGTGAATCATTCGTTATTTGTTTTTTTTTCATCTCATTCGTTTTTATGTTGCTCATGCTTTCTCACTGTTTATCTCCATTTTTTTGCCGGCGCCTGACAGTCTCGTGTGCTATCATTTTAGCTCTAATATACATAAATAAGCCATTTTGTCTCTAATAAAGAAAAAAAACACAAACAAGCGAGCCGAACAACACCAATTCGTTTCCGAAAATGAATTCTCCTAAAATTGCCAAAATAAACGAAAAATCATTCTCATCCGAATACGGACACTACACAAATTGGGGGGGGAAAAGCAGCGTGAACGAAAAAAAAGACACGACTCATGAGCGAAACTTGAAATTCGCATGCGGAACTTGATTTCCCATGTATGTATATATTCATATTTCTTTCTTGTATACATAGTTGAGTCATTGTCAATGCTGAACTGGTTGAGATTTGATAGACTTTTTGTTTTTTCTGCGTCTGTCTTTCTCTGTCTCTCTTTCTCCCTCTCTCTACTGTCCAATACTCACTAAATCGAATCGGCATAAAATTGATAAGGAAAAATACTCATTTTTTTTGGTATTTTATGGTTTTATTTATAGCGATCGCATTGATCGCATTATAAATTCATATTTATTTAAAATGAATGATCGTTCGTTCGTTAAAAGTGGATGTAAAATGCGCAAAATGAACGAAGGCAAAAAGTCAAAAGGCAAACAATTACCGCCGTATATAACTGTTGATATAGAATTTGGCGCACAGCGGGTGCACGGGCATATTGCCACATGAAACATGCACATATCAACGGAAATTCAATCACAACGTTGAATGCTGAATTTATGTTTGAGGTACCTGCACGATATTGGTATTCTATACGATCATATTCATGGCATGCATATCAATGAATGCAGCACCGTTCTTTTGGTGTTGTACTTTTATTCTTTTTGTCTGATTTTTTTTTGTCGTCGGTTGTTCAGTAAACATTTTACGGTTGATGCATTCGTCATCAGCTGAAGGTGATTTCGGTATCGATTGCTATGTCCGGCTACCCGCCCCGACTATCATTTCAAAGACGCTCACAACTATTTCCTTGTTTTCAGCAACATTCCAACCACATATTTTGGTCCAAACCAAACAGGCCCCGCGTGTTATATATTGTATATGAATATTAATGTTTCTGTGTGCAATTTTGTTATTCACAATGGTTAACATTTATTCTCAGCGATTCACTTAAGCTTTCTGTGCTCATTCCAGTCAGCAACGGACACATGCAATGCTCAACATGCCAAACGTTGACATTGAAATTTGGTTTGTGGGCCAAGATCACGTCACACAACACTGAAAATTTATATACATGGTGTATGTGAAATCACTTAGCAGCACGCTTTTTTCACCTATGAATTGATTTATGAAAACGATAAACGTGTAAGACCATCTGGATAAAATATGCATGCAATCGAGGGAGAGAGAGAGAGAGATAGAGGGAGCGAAAGAAAAAAAATAAATACTTTATTTTCCTCAGGATTTATTTTAGTCGTTTTCCTTGCATATTCATTCGTGTCGCCTAGCAACAAATCCACCCAAAACGCCAATTTACCATTTGCCATATTGACGTTTTTTTTTCTTTCGTACTTTCGAAACATGATGCGCCGAACATGCATTCGCTTTTGTAATTCAATCTCCGTCTATTTCGTTCGTTCCATTTATTATTCATGAATACCGCTATCGTTCTGATGTGTTTCGAGCTTTAAGAACCGGTCGACGAGTGAAGCTTACCTTGATGACAAAGCTCGACTAATGAAAGTTGGTGTGTGTTAAAGCTTGATGAAATATGTAACAGTTACGACAGTGACATCTGTTCACTCAACACTTATCGTATTTGTTTGTTTGTCATTTCAGAAACTTTTCCGTACAAAAAAAAACACGAAAACAATCTGAAAATTGGTTACTACCGTTTTCAATGTGATTTGCCAATCAATTATTCAAAAAAATGAACCGCAGACTCTATTTAAAGATTGAAATTTTTTTTTAGTGTGTCATATGTTTCGGTAACTCATTAAAGAGTTGAACATGAACCTGAATCTACGTTTTTCGTGGAATTTTTCTCAGATTGTCGCCGTCAAATGCTATCACGAACTTTATTGAAGCAACAACAACAAAAGTCAAAACAAAAAAAACGTTGAAATATTTAAATTATTCAAGTGAGAGTCAAATCACG